TAATCCAAAAAATTATCAAATAAATAAAAAAAATTACGATCATAACACAATTTTATAAGACACATTATACAATTTAGACACATAAATTCTGCTGAAGGAAATGTTAGCAAATGCAATTTTTCTTATATTTGTAATTATTTTTTCTATGTTATATAAAATTTTATTAGTCTTTAGAATTGTAGAATATTTTAAGGTGCTGACTTTAAGAGTCCATTTTATTTCAACAAAAGGTAACTTTTTTGTCTTTTTACGAACGATTAAAGAAATAGAAATATTTTTGTTTGTTTGAAAGCGCTAATCTCCGAAACTACTGGTTCGAATTGAATAATTCTTTTTGTGTTGGATAGTCCAGTTATCGAGGAAGGCTGTGGGCTATATAACATCACGCTACGACCAATAGGAGCAAAGATATAGTGGTAAATGTGTAAAAAACGGGAGAGATTATTTCATTTATGAAGCCTTCCGTTGCCTGCGCCGTGAAAACGGTTCAAGATACACAAAAAATATGTGTTAAAGAATAATAGGTCTATTAATGATCTAAAAAACAATCTGCGACAGTATCTGTCTATCTTTTAAGATTAGCTCACAAAAACCGTTTTTATGGTACCTAATTTGGTCGAAATAATTTGTTTAAGTTGTATCAATATAATAATATTAATCTTTATTCAAATAAACAAATTAATATGTTGTTGGTTAAGAGTACTTCATTGTGAGTTTAAAAAAAACATAGGTTTTATCCTGCAAATTCTACGGGAACTCGACCATTCCGAAAACCCCGCAAGAACGGAAACTACATATGTATGTGGGAAGAACCAAAAATCTGCCGGAAGTCACTATTCCACGCTGACGAAGTCGCGGCAAAAGCTAGTCTACTCATAAAAAAATTCAATAAATATGATAAGTTCACTCAATGTGAATATGAATATGAAATTGATGTTAACATAGTGAAAAGGAAATTTCATCTCTTTATGTTCGATATCAATAGTCTTAGTTCGGAGTAGTTTTTTGGGTTGTATAAAATTTCTATGAAATTTAACGTGCACTCCAAAGGACGGTTCGAGGTATACTAATGTAAGTTGGGGAGAATTTATTGGAAGTGCCTACATACTGCTTCCTTTTAATGAATTCCTGGTACCAATGTTATGAAATAAACGTGACGGACTAGGATTCCATAAGTTTGAATGAAAAAAACTTGATATCAATTAAAAACATATTTAATTTCAGAAAAGTGTGTATAAATAAACTTCAATTTCGTTCATTGAACATAATTTCAATTCTGGTTCTTTTTTTTCCGTCTCTTTAAATTTTGTTCGGTACAAAATCTAATTAATTGTAAAATATGTTATGCCTTGCAACTTAAAATGTTCCAAAACGATACTGCACGATGAACTATGTAATAGTGCTCAATGAAGTAATCGAAGCAATATTATTTGTACGAGTATTATGATAAGAGATATTACATATGTGCAGTTTTTAATAATTATAATCCGTCTATTTCTAAATTTTTATAACAAACATCAATTACGTTGTTGGAAACGTGAACAATATATTTTTTCATGAAAATCAAGTTGAATTACACATATCATTAATTTCGCTTTTATAATTATTGTACTAAGAATCTAATTGAGACGATAATATGTCTTTATATTTAAAATCAAGTAATCAATATAAAAAAATCTAAGGCAAATAAATGTTACGAAAATGTAATTAAAGCTTTCAAACAAAAGTTACAAACAAATTCAATAAATGTTTTTGGTCCTTTTAAGTACAGTTCAATATATTTAAAACAAAAGAGTCCATTGGTTTTAGATTTTTTAATAAATTTAATGAGATTTTATTTGTCCCTCCTTTTCTATCTTTGTTTATAAATTGCAGTAATAAGAAGTTTGTTTTAACGACTATTAGTAAAAGAAGTAGTAGTCACAACTTAAGAAACATAGTTGGTTTATTACTGATTGAGATTTAGAAAGAAGAGAAGAAATAATAATTGTTAAAAAAAATTGAACAAAGGTGTTATGGAGATAAGAGGAGTGAATACTTTTTGTTTCTCATAGACTCTTTTGTTTAATTTATTGATGTACAATCAATTTTCAATGGATTAAATTAATGTTAACACTGAATTTTTTACACCTCATAAATTGTAACCGAGGCAAAATCATGCATGACCTATCACTTTCACTGTCTATAAATCAATATCATCTAGAATATTGGACATCCTTGTGATTTATGTTTTCCTAGTAACTCTTTCTAGTTTGAACCTTTCATGGTATATGGAGAGAATTTTTCTCTTAAAGGACGTGCAGTTCCGATCATTGTCGGGTGCATACTGAATACGTTATTGAAAGCTTTCTGAAAGCAATGTATCGATTCACTACTTCGTGTTTATGATATCCTGTTAACAATGTTGTGAAATAAACGTGACTGACTTAAAAATAAGCCAATCTGAAAAGATGTGTAAACGAAGTTATATAAGATTAGAGTTATAAATTTATACTTATTAACGTTATATACATGTATAGGTTACAGTTTGTATATATCGGCGATATCACCTTTAATGACGGATGCGACATGAAAATAAATTGAGGCTATCATTCTTATTAAACCTCATTAGTATTCATGATCATTGTTAAAAGTAAAACGAAATCAAAGGTTGTTAAAAAGGAGAATAGAACTATGTAAATCTTGATATAATTATGACTTCTGGACGCACGACGGCAGAATTCAGAGTTCAGTGAGTGTGTATCATTGAAGTATGTGATTATCAAGAACCTTCGAGAAATACAGAAGCATTAAGAACAATTGAAGTTTCATTTTGAAATATCATGGAACGTTCTAGAAGAAGTGACATTAGTTAACGTCAGCGAGGCTGGCGTCTCTCTCTTTAAAAACAACGAATGTGTAATAAATCCGATATATACGTTCAAGTATATTTTGAATATACTTTAGCTTAAATATATATATGTGTAAATAGTTCTAGAGGCAAATCTTTACAAACATGTTTAATTTCGTTAATTTCCAGTCATTTATTTAATGCTTTATTTCTTAATCAAATACTAATCAAAGCACAGTGTACAAGAAACATATTAAGGTGGGCTTTGGTGAATTGAGCTTAAAAAGTACCACTGCAATTTTATTACCGCCTGGTTACCTTCTTATGAAATAAACGTGATAAAATAGAAACGACTCGCAGTGAGTAAAAAACTTTTATATGATTGACGATAGAAACGTTTGTTTGTTTATTTTGTCAATTCTATTGTTTAGGAAGTGCTAAGCTAAGCACAAAGATCGCATTGAAAATACCGCATTTAGTTGACACACAATTTATTGTCTCCTATAAATTTAAAATAGATGAGTATTTAAAAGGGGTAGCCATTTTTTTAAATCAAAAACTTAATATTTTCGATGGTTCATTTATTTTTCATTTTTTGCCAACTTACCTTACTTTTTATTAACTTACCTGAAAAAATGTGTAAATGCAGTATTAAAATATTATATTATAGTTATAGTTTTATATCGTGGTGGCCTAGTGGTAAGAAGGCCCACCTCTCATACACGAATGCGCGTGTGCGATCCTGGCCCTGGCAAGTACCAATGTGATTTTTCCGAGTCATATGTACTTTCTAAGAGTATTTAGACATCACTGATTAATGCATTCCCAAAGAGGGTTGATATCAGGCAGGCGGCCGGTCGTAAAAACAATTAGTCAAAACTATTCACAACACAGGTAAGGCAGACCCTGGCTAAAGCTGGGAAATTGCCAGGTAGAAGAAGACCGTTAAAGAAAGTAATTACAATAATTAAATGTTCATCTATGTTATAAGTGTATTGAAATAATAAACAGAACTTTGATAAAAATGATTATAAGCCTCTACAGCAACAACAATAACTTGAACTCGCCATTCATGCAGCAAAAACCAAAAAACATAAACTTGGAAGTATATACGTTACATATTACGTCCTCCAACTTTTTTATCAAAGGAAGACTCAAAAACAATATCGTCATATGAAATTTTACTATGTACTTTTTTAACCATCAGTTTTTGCTAGAAATTCAATCATATATAAAATAAAAGACATGACGGTAAATATAAAAGTACTATCATAATTTTAAGGTCGATTAAATTAAAATAATCTTCTATTCAAAACAATCTAATATGGATCACAGCAACAAAAATTGATTTAATAGCTCAGATAATTTGTATCGGTAATGATATTAATTCACACCCATTGAAAGTTCAGACAGTAAAATTCACATATTATGTGTATCTCGACACATTTTAACAATACATTAAGAGAAACCGTTGTATGTGAAGCCCATTGTAATTTCTTCAAGGCTTAAACGAAATTAAGTGGGTCTTTTTTGCAAGATTTATATGAGTTTTTTTACTTGTTAAAGAAAATAAATTACAAAAAAATACTATAAATGACAAATTTCTTTTATTTATAAATAAATTATATATTAAGCATGCACTCAACGCACATTTTGAAATAAATACTACTTAAGAAGAAATTAAACGATTAATTTTTATGTGATGTTGTTAAATTTCGGCTTAAAGGTCACGTTTATTTCATAACATTGGTACCAGGATACCATAAACAGCAAGAAGTAAAATGAAACAACTCTTATATAACTTTCGGTATCATTCCCAGTATGCACCCGACTGTACACGGCGTTGCACGTCCTTTTATCAGGAAATATAGGTGTCCTTCCTTAATAATTTTCCCTAAATCTTAATGTTGATCAAGAGACTATGAGAGTGATATCATGAAGTTAGTAAATTTATTTGTGACAATGATATTAAATTATAACCAGAGAATTGAGATGTTAACTGTATGAGAATTAATAATCTATTGATTACATATAATAAAACAATAAAATAAATCTTATGTATTAGAGCTGAGTTTCTTTTGATGAGTTAAAATTATGAAAGAAATTAAGTAGTCCCTACTTTTTAGTAAATTTTTAGTTCTCGGAATATCTAATTATATCTTCTCTCAGTCTAAATATCAATTACAAATAACAGAATTTCTGTAGAATTTTCTTCTACTTCTCGCTCGCTTATGCTGTTTTCAATGACGTTTGTGTTGTTTAATTTATTCAATTTCAAAGCGTGTTTGTTGGTAGTCTGAATTGCTAAATTATATTCAGCATTTTGTAAATTTTGATAATCATATTTTAACATCATGTCTTCAAGGATAGCAAGGGATTCAGATTTTTCTGGTGAAATTTCATGTACAGCAGAAAGCCCTGTTTCCTTTATAGAAGGTGTTACAATTTCAGAAATGTCATCAATGCCTGAATTAAATTCCTTTACATGTACATTATCACTTGCTTGATCTTGTTGAATTTTCTCACTTATGGAATTTGTTTCAACATGCTCCTCATTATAGCCCTCTTGCTTTTCTAGCTCCGCAATATAATTTTTTTCTTTATATTCATTGCTTAAATCATTATCGACTTGTCCCTCCTTCGGACTAGTAATTATATCACTGCTGGTTTTGTTGCTAATGTATTGATAATAATTATAGTCCAGTTGCTCAAAATCGAGTCCAATCATATATGGTTTTACTTCTTCATTTATTACAACTCCAGGAATCTCTGATCTTTCTACTGGTTTCCTACGTTGTTGTACTGACCCAAATATAGCTTGTTCAATTAAAACATCATCCGACTCAATTTCAGTCGATGTTTCTATATTTTTACTCTCCTTTTCAATATTCATGACAACAACTAAATTTTGGTCTTCCTTGTACGAGTCTTCTAATGGATAGGCAACATGTTGTGTTTTAGTATCTATTTTGTTTGGCACATTATAATCATATTGAATATTCACACCTTCTAATTCTTCTACCACATCGGTATTCTTTACACCCATGTTTTGGAAATTATCCAACGTTTCTTCGGTAACATGACTATCGGTATCAGATTTTTTGGGAACCTCTATCTTGTTCATAGAATCAAGATCTGATATTTCTACGTCTACTTTATCACTCTGGAGTGATTTTTCCTCGTTTTCATCCTTCTCCGATTCGATCGGGATTGTTTTTTCATTATACCTATACCTATCTTTGAAGTTACACTTTAAATTGAAATTAAACAATATAAATGGCGTATACATTGATCAGAAATAAATATAGCTGATATAAAAAGATTCATTCAATTTCTATACACATGAATTAAAGTTACCTTTCTAAAAAAATTTTACAACACAATAAGGTATAGTTTAGATTCTATAAAATATTTTTAAAGTAAATTGGCATGAATTAAAAAGGAGGAATATTAAAAACATTGGCTTCGTAAGGTTTTTAACGATAAATTTTTAAACATTCATTTCTTTTTTACCTTGCTTTTAAAAATATCTTTGTAATGGCTGCTGCTTACTTCATTTATTTGATATGTTACAGGTAAAGGAGTGGTAACCAATAATTTGCTGCCTCGTAAGGTCACGTTTGTATAGTAGAACAAGTACCAGGATTTCATAAACATGAAGTAACGAAACGAAACAACGCTTTCAGACAGATTTTAGCATTTCCCTCAGTTTGCATATGACTGTGGTTGGGGATGCACGTCCATTTATCAGAAAATTTGATTCCGTTGCATATTGGGTTGATAGAAGCTCAAACTAGAAGCAGGTACCAGAAGCACATACATCACAAGGATGTAGATTCGTGATACCGTATAAGTATAGGTACACCCTCTCCTCCTGAAACGTGCTTTAATATAAATTATATATGACGACAGTTGCTATTAATAATATTAAAATAAAACAGTTTAAGTATGACGTATTAAATTGTAAATATAATAATACGATATCATAATATATAATTAAAAAAAATGTTCTAATATGAATTGAAGTCTAAAGTGCAACCTTTAGGGCACAATATATCAACTGATAATAATAGAAAACTAAAACGGTGAATCCATATTCTATAACTGTTCAGTTATTTACTTAAATAACAGATTTTATAATATTTTTTACTGTTCAATATTCTTCACAGCTGTTCCGCTTACGAGCCGATTTCTTCTGGAAAATTCCTTGAAGGAAAGAGTATTATAGGCTTATAGGAGCGAGATTGTCTAAAGAAAAAGGGACCCCATTTTTATATCAAATCTTTCTCGTATTGGAAACAGTGTATTAGTTTTAAATCTCTCTTGATTAGAATTAGTACAACAAAAACAAACTCGACAACATTATATATCGTATAAGTATATTTTTTATAACAATTTATTAATTATCCTGTCATTATTTTTAGTAACAGCATTATGTAGATATAACAAAGATGAAAAATATAAAAATTATCAACAGTAAAATTATTTAAGCAAGGTCTGTATTAACAATATTTTTTGTATCATTAGTAGGAGACTAAAAGCCTTTCTTATATTAATTTGATTGTAATGTTAGGTTTAAATATTATAAAGTTTTATTTTAGTTTTAAAGAATAATAATCACTTGAACATATTTAAAATAGGGCTCAGTTAAAGTTTAAAATATTTAGAAACATACGGGGCTATTACATCCAGTGAATTATTCTTATTATTGTGTTTATCAACATCATTTTTCTTTGACGTTTCTTTTCACTTATATTAAAAACTTAAAATAAATGATTGGTATTATTATTGATATGACTTTAATAAAGTAATTAAAACTTTGGAATGTGACAAACTTAGTTGGAATTATAGCTATTGCACCTGGTTACAAGTTCCTCAAATAAATAATGATTTAACGTATAGATGAAACTAATATTTTCTGATTTGCTACGCTATTTATTTTTGATTATAAGATACATACTCCCGACGTTTCGGCTACTTTATAGCAACCGTGATCACGGACAAGCGATTACGTATATTTCATATATTTCTGAACACTCTAAAATATTAAATAAGCCTTATTGTCTTGAATATTTCAATGTTTAAAAATTTAAATTACATTAAAGATTTTACTACTACAACGTAAACTTAACTGTTATAATAACAATTGAAGATTTTAAAAGTAATGATTACTTATTGTTAAATATAAATTTTTCCTTACATTAAAACTTATAACTAAAAAACTATACAGCAATAAATAAATAATATTCATGTAGGTACAAGAGTTAATTTTGCTCAAAACAAATTCAAAATAAACTTGAAATTTGAAGACATAAGGAGAACCTAGAAGGAAAAACTCTCAAGAATATTGTAAAATATATATTGGTTTTAAGCAAGAAGTATTAAATAATCTCCAATTGAATATAGATATGTACGTATAAATTAGTCTAAAATCTAAAGAAATAATACAATCACGCAAGCTATAATAAAATACCACATAAAAATGCTTGAAATGTCATTTATTTTGGTAACTTGTAATGATTAATTGATTCAATACATATAGTGTAATAATTTAATTTGTTTTTGTTATAGCGATGTACAAAAAAGAATAATGTAATTTCAGTATGTATTACAAGAATACAATTTTTTAGAGTATTTAAAAACAAAAACATAAATACAAATGTTACCAGTGGCGGCTGGTGGGTTATAAAACTGGTGGTGCACTTTACTAAAATATTAAAATTAGAAAATGCAACAAAACATAACGAGATGTCAATCATGGCTCAATTCGTCATACATCGGGTGCTCTCGGTAATCTTCGGCCGCTCGTGCGGCGGTCGAGAACCGACTCATTACTCGGTACATTTCTATGAACTATCTTTTGTTTCACGCGTCAGGCGTATTAATGCGTATCTCATACAAGATGTATTAGCAGTCCTCGTGCACTCACCGAAGCGCACGAGATATTAGTTTAGTAAAGCGCACAAACTTTTTGACTATAAGTAATTAGAAATTAAATTTTTAAAAATAAAGATGAAGTAATATTTTGTAATTTTTAAATCTTTTGAATTAGTGGTTCAGCGCACGAGTGCACTTAAGGTACAGCCGCCACTGAATGTTACTATATACTTTTGTATTAGATATAGGATAATTGAACGAACATATAAGGTGCAATTTTGTTATGCATCATTTTTTAACGTGAATGGATATGAAAGCTTGCATAATTCTATCAATGGCATACGCTACGTGGATTTATAGGACGTGAATGTAATTGACGAGATAAACTTGATTCATTAGCTATCATCTGACATATTTAGGACTAAAATGGAAATAACAATACTGAACAAGATATATTGAATGGTATAATGACAAGCATTGATATTTTTTATGAATCTGGTTATGTCTTAGGAATCTATAATAATTAATGTACATATCGGAATTATTACACATTCGTTGTTCTTAAAGAGAGAGAGACGCCAGCCTCGCTGACGTTAACTAATGTCACTTCTTCTAGAGCGTTCCATGATATTTTAAAATGAAACTTCAATTGTTCTTAATGCTCCTGTATTTCTCGAAGGTTCTTCATAATCACATACTTCAATGATACGAACTCACTGAACTCTGAATTCTCAATTCTGCCGTCGTGCGTCCAGACGTCATAATTATACCAAGATTTAAACATAGTTCTATTCTCCTTTCAAACAACCTTTGATTTTGTTTTACTTTTAACAATAATCATAAATACTAATGAGGTTTAATAAGAATGGATGACGGCCTCAAATTATTTTCATGTCGCATCCGTTATTCAAGCTGGTAGCGCCGATATACATAATTATGTAAAAAATAATATATAATTTATCTATAATCTATGTATATGTGATTATGTTAAATATTACTGTTAAAGTAATATACAAATTGAAGCATTACTATTTACATTTTAAAGGATAGATATACAATTTTACAAACTTGTCTTTAAAAGATAGTTTTTTTTTATGCGTCGTCATCAGCCTACCAAAGCACATTGCTAAAAAAGGCCTCTTCTCACATGGAGGAGGTTTTGAGTATTAATCACCACGCTTGCTCAAGACGAATTGGTGATTTCAAACTTATAATTCTGAAATAATAACTCCAGGTTTCCTAAAGATGTTTTCCTTCATCGTCTGTCAGTAGTGTTGTCACGTCTAAATTATTTATTTTATTTTATTTATTTATGCACCAACAACAAGAAACACAGAAAAAAGAATAAGAAAGAAACAAAGTGATACAAAGGAAAGCTTATCTCTATGAGAGATCTCTTCCAGCCACCCTGGAGTGTGAGTAATATTAAGTTAAATAACAGGAAGGTAGGTACAATTTTAATTTTAGTGACATAGAATAATTATTACTTTTTTACTTTACATAAACATACTTAAATATACATAAAACTATTATAAACTACATATTTATTTACACAAATACAAATAATATATACATACAAATACAAAATAAAATATACATATATATATATATCTAACTTCTAATGTTGTGATGAATCTAAAAGATAATATTTTTTTAATCTGAGTTTAAATGTATGTACAGAATTACAATTTTTTATAATATAGCCCGGAAGAGAATTCCAAAGTTGAGCAGCAACCACCGTAAAGGATTTTTTGTAGAAAATACCATTATAAGGGGGTATATCAAAAACTTTGTTCAAGACACAAGATCGAAGTGGTCTTTCACGCGGTGCAGAGAACTTGAATCGTTCGTAAAGATAGTGTGGAGTTGAGTGATTTAAAATATTAAAAAGTGTGGTCAAAACATGTACATTACGGCGAAAACGAATCGGAAGCCACTTTAACTGACGTCTGAAATGGGAGACATGATCAAATTTGCGCAGTCCAAATATAAATCGAATGCATAAATTCTGAAGTCGTTCGAGTTTGTCAAGTAGCTCATCCGTAGCATCTAAATAGCAGACATCGGCATAGTCGAGGAGAGGGAGTAAGAGAGATTGAGCCAAGATAGTTTTCGTTTTTAGTGGGAGGAAATTCTGCAATCGCTTCAAAGAATGAATAGAATGATGCAAACGTTTGCTGATATCATTGATATGTGCGGACCAGGACAGATTGCAGTCCAAAGTTAAGCCCAAATTCTTAGCCTTATCTACATAACTTATGGGTAAACCATCATAAACTACCAAGGGTAGTTCACCAAAGTTAATTCGTCCTCTAAGCTGTCTGCTACCAATTATCATGACCTTAGATTTAGAAGGGTTAACTAACAGCCCAAATGAGTCAGCCCAATCTTTAATTAAAGCAAGATCATTGTTAGTTTTTCCAATGGCGTCATTTAATTCATTCAGTGAGGCATGTCTGTAAATCTGCAGATCATCAGCGTAGAGGTGATAGTGTGAGGAAACAATTGTAGTAATCTGATTGATAAATACTGAGAACAGCAGAGGTGATAGAACGCTGCCTTGTGGTACTCCGGCAGAGAGTCTTGTCCAGTCAGAGTGACTCACCTCACAACGTATACGTTGTTGACGGTCATAGAGAAAAGAATGAAACCAATCAATCGCAGAGGAGGAAATGTTAAGAGAGCGGAGGACACCCAGCAATAAGTCAAAGTCCACTGAATTGAATGCGCTACTAAAGTCGAGTAAAGTGAGAACAGTAAGCAGTTTGTTGTCCATTGCGTAACGGATATCATCAGTAACCTTGAGTAAAGCAGTGGTTGTGCTGTGAGAAGGACGAAAACCAGATTGGAAGGAAGTTAAGAGATTGTTATTGAGGAGAAAAGAGGACAACTGTTTTGAAACAGCTTTCTCAAGAATTTTAGAAAGAATGGGAAGAATGGATATAGGGCGAAAATGTGAAAAAGAACTGGGATTAGGGGATTTAGGCAGAGGAATGACATGTGCCATTTTCCATGCAGTAGGAAAGACTTTGTTAGTTAAGGAGAAATTTAGAATATGAGTTATTATGGGAGAGATTATATCAATAATGAGAATTAACATGTCCCGGCTTATGCCGTCACTGCCAACGGCCTTTGAAGAAATTGAAAGTATATCTTTCTTAACGTCCTCCTCTGCGACATCTTGAAAAGAAAACGGGAGACATGAAGGAGCTGGTATAGCAGTAAGTTTTTGAAGAGAAGAAATTTTTTTAGAGGTTAGAAGTGTGGAAGGAGGAGAAGAGAAGTGTTTGTTAAGGTCATTAAGATTAATTGTGTTATTACAGTGTGTATCAGTTTTACCAATGCCAACAGTTTTTAGGAATCTCCATGTTTGAGCCGTGGAAAGAGATTCGATTGAGTTAAAAATAAAACGTCGTTTAGCGTCCCTGCACAATCTGTTACATAGGTTACGTAATTTCTTGTAGGCAGTAACATTCTCAGCTGTTGGATGCATTTTACATTTCAGTTTGGCTTTGTTGCGTTTGGTCATTACATTCTTTATTGAAGTGGAAAGCCATGGAGCAGGTAAATGCTTAACTCTGACTGGTCTTACTGGTGCATGGACGTCGTACAATCCAATAAGCAATGAAGTAAAGAAAGATACTTTATTGTTTATGTCAGGTTCATTGTACACACTAGACCAGTCCAAATTTACGGCATCAACACGCAGACGCTCCATATCAATGTCTCTGAAGTTGCGATGCAGAATTTCTTTATGTCTACGTTTAGGAGTGCTAACATTATAGCGTAGATATAACAGATCGTGATAGGAGAAAGGTGCAGTCAATTGTCCATGTGATAATACATTACACGTTTGAGAAGTAATTATTAAGTCTAAAAGAGAAGGATTAGCATTAGGTGGAAAATGGGTAGCAGAGAGAGGAAGGATTGACATGTTTAAAGATGAAACCAAAGAATATAATTTCTGAGTCCTGTAATCATTTTTTAGTAGGCACGTATTAAAGTCACCCATGATTATTGTGTCACTATAAGCGGGAGATAAATTTACTAAGAGTGATTCGAAGGCATCGAAATAATTAATAGTAGGTAGAGGGCTGTATGCCACCCCTACAAGGAGTGAAGTATGCTTCAAGCGGATCTCAATGAAAAGATGTTCTAAACTACCAGAGTGTGTGGAAGGAGATTGACTTATGATCTTGAAATTAAAATTATTTCTGAGATAAATGCAGACGCCTCCACCTCCTTTACCAGTCCGGTCGTTCCGGATTAAAGTAAATTCAGGTAAATGAAAAAGGGCAGAAGGGAGAGAAGGCTTTAGCCAGGACTCAGAAATAAGAATACAATCAACTAAGATACCGCTAAAAGATGCCAGAAAATCGGGAAAATGAGCCGGAATGCTTTGAGCATTAATGTGAACTATGTTAAGACCATGTAATTTATTAGTGAAAATGGAACTGAGATTTTGACCAATTGTAAACGAATTATCCAGTGAAGAATGGTTACTTGATAGGCTTTGAAAATCTTCAGAAGATGAGCACGAGAAATATTCATCATCAAAGTACATTATATCAGACATTATAATATGTACACTACTTATAATAATAATAAAAATAATAATAAAAATAAAAAAATCTTGAAAGATATATCAACAAAAAACAAAAAAAAAAAAATAATAATATGATACAAAAAAAATATATATATTTATATATATATATATAGAGTATTATATAAAAAAATGTATAAATAATTTAAAAAAATATCAAAAATAGAAAAAAAAAAAAAAAAAACTTTACAAGCAAAACAAAAAACCCACTCACACTGGCGAAAGGAGAGAGATATCATTAAATTACACAAAAATAAATTGAAACAAATTCATATATCTATAAAATAAAAGAAAACACAAAAATAACTTGCCAAAACATATAGAAAAGTAATTAACAAATAGAAAATTAAAAAATTAAATAACAGAAAAAAAAAAAAGAATTTATCTATCTACAGGAATATCCGAACGCCGACAAAGCAAGATGACAGTATAGGATTGTCGAAATGATAAATAATCTGTGCACATTATATCAAATTATCTGTGGGAATGAGTAGTCATAAAGACAATGACAGATTGTGACAAACAATAATTATCGTATTTCAACCAATGGTTATGAAAAGTGAAAATAAAAAAAAATTGGATCTACCGAACCTCATTCAATTTAGTGGGTAAACAGTTACAAGTGAAAAAATTGAACATACTGCAATAAACTATGCCTACCGACGTTCGGTATAACTAATAGATGAAAGTGTAATCATAAGAAACTGACTACATAATACACTCTAACAAGGTATACAATTACTTAGCTGATGCTTTAATATTTCGACGAGATCTTGTAGTTTTCTGTTCATGTACCGATTCAGCAAGCGGATGTTTTTCTATTAATAACTTCAGTTCACACATAGAATCTACTTTCTTGCGATTTTTGTCTGGCAAAGATATGACGATATTACCATCGACGGTCCAGCAATTTCTCATACCGAAATGCTTACGGGCAGTCACAAATAACTCCTGCCTGGGTTTGGTGAGAAATTCCGTAATTGTTATGCCGGAACCTTTAAGAACAGTTTTACAGTTCCATACTGCATTCCTGGCCCTTAAACTAATAAAGCGGACGAGTATGGGTCTGGCTTTATTCTTCTTTACACCTAATCGATGGCAAATATCAATATGAGAGTAATCAAAGTCCGATAGTTTTAAACGATTACGCAAAATGGATTCAACTGTGTTATTGATTTGTTCATTGTTATCTTCAGATACACCGTGAAGTAGAAGTATATTTCTTCTGGACAACATCTCTTGATTGTCGAATCCCGTGCTGAGCAATTGCAACTGATGCCGTAACATGGATAGAGCCTTCCAAATAAGCTCCTTGAACACATTGAATTCGGCCGCCAGCGAGGAATAGTTACCCGAAGCACTTTCTTCAAGACTTGATGATGCAGCTTGTGTTGTAGCCAAAGCTTTATCGAAGAGATCCATCCGCGCCTCGAACATTTTCATCATATCCTCCATATTTTTATTTAGTTGAGTGTGTAGATCCATTGTAGTGTAACCAATAAAAATTGTGCAACAAAAAGATGATATGTTGAGTAAATATATGTGCCAGCTGACGTAGGTAAACACTAGCTCATTTATATATACTTTTTATTTAAATAAATTAGAGAAAGACTATTTAAATTTAAAAAAAAGTGCAGAGCAAGAATTATGATGTTATTCGTATGACCTACCCACACAAGATTATCTACAGACAATAAATAAAACAAGACGTGAACTACTTAATTACAAAATTTTATTAACTAAAACATTCAGACTAGGTATAAATTCTACACATTTAGGTTTAGGTCTAGGCTCAGGCGTTACTGGGATACCGAGGGTACGCTCCTTGTATCGGTTTCTCTAGTTCGGCTCCTAGTTTTCTATCGGTGGCTTCGACTCGACGCGTGTCCTGCCGACCGGCCGCTGGCAAGGTCGCACAAGGTCGGGGTCCGAAGCCAACACGATGAATTTAACTCCAGGGGTAGTTCCTGAAAGGCCGGAAATCAACACGTGTTACGGCATTTATTACATTAATCTAAAGCGCAATAAGCCAATAGTAATAGCTTAGCAGAAAAAAGGCATCTAAGAGTAATAATAATTAACAAAAAAAACTACGCAATTATTTTAAGATATTAAAATTATTTTTTGGTCATAGTTGAGGCAAATATAAATTTAATCAGACATGGTTACATAAACCACTTGCTATTAATAAAAATATAAGAAGATATTTCAATATAATACAATAACAAAGAAATTATGACAATTAATTTTTTAACATACTAAACTGCACTAAAAATTATATAAAATATAAGGGAAGTTACCATTAAGATGGTATAAGCATCTTAAATCTAAATAATACATAATTAAAATCAACAAGGACGAAGCATTGGTTAGGCCATAAGCACACTAAGTTAACTAGAACACGTCTTATAATTAAAATTTTATAATGCACAACTTACACAGTACGGGAACAAATAACACTTACTAATGTAAATTCCCGAAAGGGAATAATAGAATTTAATTTTCTTAAAACCAGATTATAATATTATATTTAACTAAGACTGGAACACGGTCCTTAGCGACAAGATACACGTAAGAACGTAGGTATACTAATAGTAATGCAGCGACAAGTTTGCGCTTGCGGCCCGACGCGTCTTTTTAAACCCGAGAATTGTAAAGGATACGTATACGTCTATAACTATACCTGCGATTTATCTAATACGATAGTCAGTGAGGACAGTTTGTTTGTAAATATATATTTTTTAAGTATATATATTTTTTAATGTAGTAAATATAGTTTAATTAATTTACATATATTATAAAATAATATGTTACAGTGTCTAAATACTCTCAGAAAGTACATATGACTCGGAAAAATCACATTGGTACTTGCCAGAATCGAATTTTAATGTATGTAATATTTTAAAATATTACCTAAAATATATATATATGTATTCTGTTAAAAAAAAGATTATATAATAAATATATCAACACTCTGTTTTTAATAAGTGAAGTTTATTCCATGTATAGGTATTCGTAACATGCAGAATTTCTTTCAAAACCTTTTATACACGAGTTTTTATATCATAGAATCTTCAGTATCTGATTGACTGTATTTAGAACTGCAACTAAATTAATTGTTTTTTTATTGTATCTGAATCAGAATGTATGAAAGTTGGATACATTTATATGAATTTTGGTTGCATATTATGAATAATTTACATATATTTGATAATGTATTCTGAGGCTCAAGTTTATCTTTTGTATGCTTTATTATATGCACAATTAAAAACGAATTTTCAAACTGTTATTATCTTTTTTACTCCTTCAGATCACAAACAAGAGTTTAATAATTAATATTCATTTCCAGTTCAGTCATCTACCACATAAAACAATCTTTATATTAAGAAACACGATTTTAAATCTTTATTGTTATATTAATAACATTTTTCACTTTTATTTAAAGCTTCCTTTTACAAAGAAATATTTTTTGGTAATGATGATGGAAAAATAATGATATCTTGCTTACTAGTGCGTGAAACTTGTTGACCTTTATTCAGAAAAGTAAGACCTCTTTCTTGTACATCTCGTTTATTTCTTGAGACTTGTACTAGGATTCCATAAACATGGAGAGTTCATACAGTTTTCAGTATGCACCAGACTGTGACGGGGTTGCACGTTTATAGCACGGAAAATATGTTGTAATTTTTGAGTTCATACAAGTTAAAGTGAAACTATTTACGAAGAATATAAATAGTACATACGTCTTTGTTCCAGATAATATTATAATTAGAGGGATAACGGTATCGGAACAAACACAATATCTTTTCGGAAGTAATTTTTAAACCCTTGAAATACATTTATTTAGAGAGGCTTAATATAGTTTTTTCCATTTTCAAAGTTCAGCTCATTACCTAGCTATTTCTTTATTTTATAGAAAACTAATAGAAGTAAAATCTCAAATACAGTAAAGATTAGAAATAATCAATTTCTTTTTCAGTCATAACTATCCCTGATATAAGAATTTTTATACAAAGACGAGATAATACATTCTTCATTGAAACCAAAGCCTGCCTTTGTGAAGAAATCGAAATTAAGTTTTATTACAATGCAGTGATTGACCTAATAATTGTATTGGGTTTTTTAAGTTTACAAATTTATACGTAAAATACACCAAAGACTTTCTTCAATTATAATGAAGCATTAAATCTATACAATATCTTTATAAAATTGGCCAATGTGTCACGGAATATATAGTAAACATTGATATTTCTTTTAGTTCAGAACTAGGATTACTAATGATTATTCTGTGGGTGTTTGCAGGATCACTTGCATTCTAAACACTTACACCGTATATTACTATCTAGTCTTACATTATAGGACGTTTTTTTTATATCAAAGGATAATTTAATATCGTAACTGTTTTTCATATTTAAACCGATATTGTTCATCGTCTAGTAGATATTTTGTAGTTTCAAGCAGTTTCATGTTTTAACTCTCTCCTTATAAAATCCCAAAAGGGTTTAAATAAATATATATCTTTAGGTGATTCAATCACGCCCTTACATTTCTAAGAAGGACAAAGCATACCTTAATCTTGATAAAGCGACTATTGTCCGAATCTTATATTAAATCTATGAGACTATTTAAATTAATATAACCGTATCGGAACAAAACAAATAACCCGATATAATATTGACATCGTAATGAAGTTTCCTGATGACTATCCTACTATCCGTACTAATTGATTGCTTGATTGATGATGATGATCTTAACCCGATGTGGTTTTGTGTCCTGAAAATATAATAAAAACATATTAAACGATGAAAGTAACTTTTGTCATCGAGGAGAAATGTGTATTGAAAAGTTTACCTTTAACTTTTACTTTATTTTTACCTTAGATTTGATCTGATGTAAACATAATAACATATACAATATAAATCGGGTCTCAATTAAATATAGGCGTTTTCTATTATGTAATAAAAACATCAAAGATTATTCAACTGAAATATATTTTAGAGGAGAGCCTAGCTGTTGTCAAGTGACTACAGCTCGAAAATGGGCTGGCTTGACCAGGGATGTACCTCCCTCTCACAGAATATCAGCGTGTCACTTCCGACTTATCCCTTTTCCTCAATAATCAAGGTTGGCAACGCCTATGTTGCGGATGTTCATGGGCGACGGTCACTACTGCCCACCATGTAGGCCGTCTGCGCTTTTGCCACTTCATATAAAAGAAATTATAAAATCAAAACGTTTCTTGTTTAATTTTAAACAAGATCATTTTATAGTTCACAACACCAATTTTATCTCATTTTTCGCCTTACTTGTATACTAAATCTCTTATTCGTTTGTAACGGAATACAAAGTAGGTGCGATTGTTACTGTTTGTTTTACTCACGCTAGCCAAAAGACTAATGATACAGTTATTTTGATAAGATTTTATTAATGTAACGAAAAGAAATTATTAAAATCTCACCTAAGATCTAATTTGAAATAGCAATGAATGAACCAAGTTGAAATGATTATATATTCAATGAAAAATATTCATATATTTAGTGGTGTTATCATCATGTTGTCGTGATCTTTATTTATATGAATGATTGGTTTTGGAAACTGTCGCCGTGTGTTTATAAAATAAACATATTAGTGGCAGCAGATGGTATTAAAAAATCGATATTTGTTCATAATGATGATTTAAATAATAGGTAAGTAATATAATTTTTTTGCAATACAAGTTTCTAGCACTATGTGGTATACAGATCAGAAGTCTGAACAAAAATGTTTGAAACTGAATATGTTCAGTATTGTATGGCTAGCTGCAAGTAAAATAATCAGACGACATAATTTAATATTTAGTTCATCTGTCTTGTACGTCACGTTTATTTCATACGACTGGTACTAGGACTTCATAAACTTGAGGTAGTGCATCCGAGTGTGTTTTCATATAGTTAGTTCGGTTAAAACAAGCTCAACCTGGAACCAGATACCAGGAAAGCATAAATTGAAAGGATAGCCAATGTTTACGTGACATTTGATCATAGACAGTGGAACTTAATTTAAGAAATATGAAATCTCGCAAAATGTATATATGCACGCAGTGTATTACACTCAGAGTTTATAGTTTTAATTCCTTGTTCCAAACCTTAATAAGATTATTATTTATATCTTATTAAAATAAACGCTTAGATTTCAATGTTATATAAACAATAGAGAAATCTGTTTTGATACATATATAGTTTTTAATAAGCTTTTTTTATGTTATACATAATTATTGCTAAACCACTTTTCCATTAACTAATAATATGAAAATTACTTTTATTTACTTCCCGAGTTGCACAGTTTATTAGCATTAGTTAGACAAGCGAAGGATGTATGGGAAATGACTTCGTCGAACTAATTAAAACTTGAAAATGTCAAAAACGGGAGTCAAAATTTGTTAAGTGATTCTAATTATAGCTTCTTAACTTGATGAGAAGTTTATAAATAAATAATATCAATACCATAATTATCAGAATACATGGGTTTTCTTTATACTCAAACTCATTTATGTTTCTATATAAGAGGTTCAGTTGTAGTACAGGTTTATTTCAAGCTTTTGTTTTGAAAATTTCACTTTAAAATTTTTGTTTCTATTTAAGTAAAGTGTAAAATTTACAAACATTATTTAAAACAATATATTAAATAAGTTCTTTTTTGTTTTAAATGAATCGAGTTAACAATGGAAATACGTCACAGCTGAAGATTCTCCCAGATATGTATAATAAAATGTAAAATGACGCAGCATGAGGAGAAGCTATTGACTATATTGTACATAAGATAATAGCTGGTTGCCCTGACATACCTTAACATAAAAACTTACTAATTACAATCAATACCATACGTGATGTCGACTTATAGGACAAAGATATAATCGATAAGATTAACTTG